GTTTCTTCCAGCAATTTTTACCCCAGCCTTGCATTCGTCAAGCCCTGCACATTGCATGATGTGTTCTGCATAGAAGTTGAATAGGTTGGGTGAGAGTATACAACCCTGCCATACACCTTTCCCAATCTTGAACCAGTCTGTTGCTCCATGGTCAGTTCTTACTGTTGCTACTTGGTCCTTATACAGATTCCCCAGGAGAGAGATAAGGTGATTTGGTATGCCCATACCACCAAGAACTTGTCACAATTTATTATGATCCACACAGTCAAAGGCTTTAGAATAGTCAATAAAACAGAAATAGGTGTTTTTCTGAAACTCCCTGCATTTCTCCATTATCCAGCAGATATTGACAATTTGATCTCTCGTTCCTCTGCCTTTTCTAAATCTAGCCTGTACATCTGGCAACTCTCTCTCCATGTATTGCTGGAGTCTTCCTTGCAGGATCTTGAGCATTACCTTACTGGCATGAGAAATAAGGGCCACTGTATGAAAATTTGAGCAATCTTTAGCATTTCCCTTTTTTGGGATGGGGATATAAGTTGATTTTTTCCAGTCTGATGGCCATTCTTGTGTTTTCCATATTTGCTGGCATATGGCATGCATCACCTTGACAGCATCATCTTTCAAGATTTTAAACAGTTCAGCTGGGATCCCATCGTCTCTTGCTGCCTTGTTGTTAGCAATGCTTCTTAATATTAATGGAAAAAATAAGGTAGAAAGCATTAAAAGGTAAATTATCTTTCCACTTTTTGGCAAACAAAAAGGAAATCAATTGGTTTTAGCATATTTAATGCATGCCTGCTTTGAAGGATTTAGATGAGCCGTAAAGGACCACAACTACTGCTGTGGTGAAAAAATTAGATAAATGACAATTTAAGCATGGATTAGGTTTGTTAAATTAATCCTTTTTTTTAAAGTTGGCCACTTTTACCTCTCCTTTCTATAGTTAAAAGTAGAACATGCATAGCAAAACAAAGAACTTACTAAATCCATGCAATTAGTACTACATTAGGGGGAAACAGCAAAAAAAATGCAAAACATTTAAAGCATCCATGTTAACCATTTGCAGCACCTATGTTCAACTAATGAAAAGATTATATGAAATAGCTATTAAGAACTTTATTCATGCTATTGTGGCAATACAAACAGAAAGGTCCCATGCTAGGCTTTCAGGTCAGAATTAACTCAATTTTACATGCCTATGTGTTCAGGTTCTAATTTTAAATATCCACAATGGTGTTGCTCCAGCCTATACAGGTTTTTGCCTTTGGATCGAAGTGTAATGGAGTCTTATACAACAACAGCTGTAAAATGTGCGAGGCCGTGACTCCCACCGCTTGTTACTAAAAATTTAAAACCGTTCACTTGCTGCCACCAAAATATGTGAGGAAGTCTCCAAAATGAAATAATGGTGTAAAATCCCAAATAAATAGGATCACCACACAGATGTAATAAAGATTTGAGACTTCTAGCTTAAATTGCCACCATAATATAAGAGATATTGGTAAAATGATCTCTGGTTATCCCTATCTGTGTTGTGAGGCACCTTTGGTAGTGTGGAATGCTCCAAACGTGGAAATCAGTGAAGGAGGCAAGTTTAAAACACAAAAAGAACAGGTTTATTGTTATCAGAGCGTAAATTGTTGCAAAATTAAACTGTTGAACTTGGCACAAGCTTGATGGATACAAAATGGCTTGGTTGAGTTACATTAAGTCTTCCGATGTTACAATCCTTTAACTCCTCCTACAGTGAGGTACTTTATTATTTCAGTGTTCCCTAATGTGAATATTTACAACTGTTTGTCCTTCACCGGATCAAACCAACGATCTCCAGACTTTCACCACTGGGATCCCTGAAACCCTTTCTTGTTAGATTCTTTTCTACTCAAGCAATCTAACGAGTTTCCACCTTCAGCTTCCTAGCTGAAGTAATATTCACAAAACCTAAGAACTAACTGAATTTACACTACTCCACAGAGCCTCCTTGACTCTGCTACTCTCCTCAGGGTCTCATCCGCCTGACTGAAAATAAACTGTCGCTTTCAAACCTTTTTTACCTAAGCTCCGCCCACCTCCTCTGGCTTGTCACCATGGCAACCTATCTCTCTCTCAGCTAGGCCCTGGCCACAATGTAAAGCCTAAACACAGTTTGAAACACAGTATAATGAACACTTCTCTACAAAGAGGATGTTATGAAGTAGAGTCTCCTTCCTGGAGGTTTTTAAGCATAGCCTGAATGCTCATCTGTCAGGGGTGCTTTGATTGTGTATTTCTGTATGGTAGGAGAGCCGTGGTGTCTTCTAACTATGATTCGATGAACATTTCTTCTCTTTTTTATTCACAGGTCATATCAAAATCCATAAATTTTGAGTTGCTGTGAGTTTTCCGGGCTGTATAGTCATATTCCAGAAGCATTCTCTCCTGACGTTTCGCCCATGTCTATGGCAGGCATCCTCAGAGGTTGTGAGGTCTGTTGGAAACTAGGCAAGCGAGGTTTATGTATCTGTGGAATGTCCAGGATGGGAGAAAAAACTCTTGTCTGCTTGAGGCAAGTGTGACTGTTGCAATTGGCCACCTTGATTAGCACTGAATAGTCTTGCAGCTACAAAGCCTGGTTGCTTCCTGCCTGGGGGAATCTTTATTGGAAGGTGTTAGCTGGCCCCGATTGTTTCCTGTTTGGAATTCCTGTTTTCTGAGTGATGTTCTTTATTTACTGTCCTGATTTTAGAGTGTTTTTAAATACTGATAGCCAGATTTTGTTCATTTTCATGTTTTTCTCCTTTCTGTTGAAATTGTCCACATGCTTGGATTTCAATGGCTTCTCTGTGTAGTCTGACATGGTGGTTGTGAGAGTGGTCCAGCATTTCTGTGTTCTCAAATAATATGCCGTGTCCAGGTTGGTTCATCAGGTGCTCTGCTATGGCTGACTTCTCTGGTTGAAGTAGTCTGCAGTGCCTTTCATTTCCTTGATACCACCTGTTTATGAGTCTTACAACTTATGTATTGTGGTTGGATTACTGCATAAAGGTGCTTCCTTAAAGGTCACAGACTAAGTTCATGAAACATTTGAGTAAGAAATATCTACCAGGCTACACTTGCATCAAAAGACAAAACAATTTGAGGCTACACCATTACAAGCCTTTTATATACATAACTGGCCAAGCCTAAGGGTGTCGTGGCTGATGTTGCTGCAACTACATGCCAGTTACATCAGCATTGCAGATAAGTGTGTTGGAGGCAGGAAGGTTGGCTTCCAAATTATAAATATGTGTGGAGCTGAAAAAGATGGGGGTGGGACAAATATAGTGCTGCTAATGCAGCAGATATCTGATCTATATTTCCTCAATACAATCTTATGACTCTGATGGGACTTGCTCCCTAGTCTATGAGACTGTAGCATGTGTCTTCATAAGGATTATAGAATCTTTGAACTTAGTAAGTAAATGAATATCTAAAAAGGAAGTGCTTAGTATTTTATGCTAAACTAGCCGTCTCCTGCCACGTTGCTGTGGCCCACATGGGGGTTCTGTGTGGGAGGTTTGGCCCAATTCTATCGTTGGTGGGGTTCAGAATGCTCTGTGATTGTAGGTGAACTATAAATCCCAGCAACTACAGCTCCCAAATGTCAAGATTCTATTTTCCCCAAACTCCACCAGTGTTCACATTTGGGCATATTGAGTATTGTGTAGAGTTTGGTCCAGATCCATCATTGTTTGAGTCCACAGTGATCTCTGGATGTAGGTGAACTACAACTCCCCAACTCAAGGTCAATGCCCACCAAACCCTTCCAGTATTTTCTGTTGGTCATGGGAGTTCTGTGTGCCAAGTTTGGTTCAATTCCATCATTGGTGGAGTTCAGAATGCTCTTTGATTGTAGGTGAACTATAAATCCCAGCAACTACAACTCCCAAATGACAAAATCAATTTTTTGAGTGAAGGACATACATTGGGTTGTTAGGTGTCTTGTGTCCAAAATTGGTGTCAATTCGTCCAGTGGTTTTTGAGTTCTGTTAATCCCACAAATGAACATTGCATTTTTATTTATATAGATGGAAACACAGTACCTTGGTTTGTTATAAATTCACTGTGTCTAGCTTTCTCAGATCGGACAAAATCAGCGGCAACAATCATTGGGGTGTAGCATAAATCACAGTTGTACTTCCTTACCAAAGTTCGGAAAGATAATCTGAAAATACATAAACATATAAGATTATTTGCAAAATCTTTAGTGAGGAGAAGCTGCAAGCCATTAAATGCTAATCAAGGTGGTAAATTGCAACATTCACACTTGCCTCAAACAGACAAGTTCGTTCTCCCACCCTGGGCATTCCACAGATATATATATATAATAATAATAATAATAATAATAATAATAATAATAATAATAATCTTTATTTATACCCCGCCACCATTTCCCCAATGGGGACTCAGAGCACCTTACATGAGGCCAAGCCCGAACAACAATTACAATAAAGAAAAATTGAAAACGCAGACCGAAAACGCGAACAATAAACAACAACATCATAATTACATAAAACATGTGAATACATAACAATAGAAAATTACAATAAGCACAAACATAATGACAATGGGAGGGCTACATGTAATGATTATTATTAATAATAATAATAATAATAATAATAATAACAACAACACTTTATTTATACCCCGCTACCATCTCCCCAAGGGACTCGGTGCGGCTTACATGAGGCCGAGCCCAAAATACAACAATACAAGCAATAACAACAACAATACAGCAATTTAAAACAAAACAATAAAACAATAACATAAGCATTATCAATAGGACAACACACTTTAAAATCTATGGGTAGGCCAAATGTAATTAAAATTAAAAATAATGCTGGACATGGGCGAAAAAGTGATGGGGCGGTTTGTGGGAAACATACAAGCAGACCTAAAACAATATAAAGTGCTTAAAAGAAGAACCAATTAAAAACTCAGGCGAGATAAAAAAGAAGACTAGTTTCCAACAAACCACTTGCCTAGTTTCCAACAAACCTCACAACGGGTTGTTGTAGGTGTTTTCAGGCTATATGGCCATGTTCTAGAGGCATTTTCTCCTGATGTTTTGCCTGCATCTATGGTGAGCATCCTCACAACCTCTAAGGATGCCTGCCATAGATGACACATTCCAGCTTGTCAATATCTCTCTTCAATATCTCTCTTATATAGCTTGGGGCTATATACCTGAGGGACCGCCTCATCCCCCACAAACCCCAGAGATCACTCCATTCAGCCGACCAGAATTTACTTGAAGTTCCCAATTTTAGGACCTTTCACCTGATGTCTACTAGGCGTAGAGCATTTATGGTGGTGGCTCCTTACCTGTGGAATGCCTTGCCTACGGGGACATGAGCTCTCCGAGATTTACTATCCTTTTGTAGAGCTTGTAAAACTTATTTATTTAGGCTGGCATTTGAACCTTGATGATCAAAATTTTCCTTGATTTTAATGTTATGCGTTACATGTGTATATTGTAAACCGCTCTGAGCTTTCGAGGAGTGGTAGTATATAAAATTGATTAATAAATTAATAAATAAATTGTGGTACCCAGAATTGGACACAATATTCCAGGTGTGGTCTAACCAAGGCAGAATAGAGGGGGGGGGGTGTGTGTGTGTGTGTGTTAATTTATTTGCAACAATAATACATCAATAAAAACAAAAACAAACAAGACACAGAAACAAAAAACACACTATCAAACAATCCAAATATTTTAAAGATCTTCCTCAGTCAGTTTCTCCTTAAGTGTTTACTTTGCATGAAAAAAGATGTACCCTCCCCCCCAAGTTTGTTCTTGCCTTCTCTTTTGTTCTCATGTTTTGTGCTCTTAGGAAGCTAAAATAAAACAAAAGGTAATGCAAACATTTGCTCATTTTGCATAAAATATAAAGAGGAAGTGACAGAGAAGTGTTGAACAGTGTTTTAAAATGCAAATTCAGCAAACACATTATTTAACGAAACAATATTCAAGAATAACATTATTTTTCAAATAAAAATATTGCAAAGGTCATAAACAAGGTTGGAACAGAGTCAGAGTAAACAGGGGAACTTATTCCCAAGCGCATGTGTTGACTAGCAATAAAACTCAGTGGCATTTACATCAAAGTAAATACATATAAATGCTTCTGTAATAAAATATTCATTAAGTCAGTGACATACTCATAACTAAACTGATTTAATAACAATTACTTCTGCTGAATTAGTTTATCATAACCTAGAAGACTGCACAGGAATAAATAGGATGCAATTTGGAAATGGCACTTACTTCGAATATCGAACCATAGGAGCACATATTTTTACAATCTGCCCAGAATGAAATAAATCAGTCGGACTTCTAAGAGGCTGTTGTAAGATTTCTCCGGACGGACTGGACAGGCACGTGTTTTCAGACCACATCTGGAAAACAAAGAACAGAAGGTAATATTTAAAAAAAACTCACAATAATAAATAATAATAATAAACTTTATTTATACCCCGCCATCATCTCCCCAGTGGGGATTCGGAGCAGCTTACATGGGGCCAAGCCCGGATAACATATTACAGCAAAATAGAAGCAAAACATAAACAACAAACAACATCATCAAAATTACATAGAAAAAAATAGTATAACATAGTCATAAAATAACATTCCAATAAACACAATCACAATAACAATGGGCAGGCCACATGTACAAGATAAAACGATTAAAATCTAATGAGATAAAAAATAGGAGCAGGTTATTTGCACGGAACTCATAAAAGCAAGCAGAGTTGTGAAGCTAAACTTCCATGTGGAGGGTGTGTATCCAGTGGCAAAAGCATTGAGGGGTGCAGTAATGTCATGTTGTGCACCTACTCGCCAAAGGCGCAGCGGAAGAGCCAGGTTTTAAGGTTCTTTTTGAACGTTTCTAGTGAAGGGGCTTTCCTGATCTCTCCAGGTAATGTGTTCCAAAGTCAGGGAGCCACAGAGGAGAAGGCTCTCTTCCTTGTGCCCACAAGACTATTAACAATTTTAAAGAACTTTCCTACACAAACATAGGACACTCTTTTGTCTTCTTTCCCTTCAAATCCTAGTCTTTTGACTTAGGGTGCGTCTACATTGTAGCATGAATGCAGTTTGACACCACTTCAACTGCCATGGTTCAACACTATGGAATAACAGAAGCTGTTGATTTAGATGGTCTTTTGCTTTCTCTGCCAAAGAGTGCTGGTGCCAAGCACAGGCTTTTATAGCCATGGCAATTCAAGTGGTATTAAACTGCATTCATTATTCAGTATAGATTCACTCATAGTTTCAGCAAAATGGGGTTACACTCCCTCTGAAGGCGCAGGTTCGCAGCTTGGGAGTGATCCTGGACTCATCGCTGAGTGGTGGCCGGGAGAGCTTTTTCACAATTAAAACTTGTGCGCCAGCTGCGCCCGTACCTTGGGAAGTCTGACTTGGACACGGTGGTCCACGCTCTGGTTACATCCCGTATAGACTACTGCAATGCTCTCTACGCGCGGTTGCCTATGAAGACTGCCCAGAAGCTGTAACTAGTCCAACGCTCGGCAGCCAGACTATAAAGGAGCAGGGTACAGGGAGCGCACAACTCCTCTGTTGCACCAGCTCCACGGTATTGGGGTTCAGCCTGAGTTTGAACTTGAACCTGATTCTCTGTTTGTTCCTCCTGATGCTAATGAAAGTATATTTACTGATGCTAGTGGAAATGTACCTTTTGATGCCAATGCTCCTGAAATTAGTGAGGAAGAAACTGCTGTAGGTTTGGAAAATGCCAATGTTCCTGAAATTAGTGAGGAAGGAACTTCTGTAGATTTGGAAAATGAAAGTACCAGTGTTCATGAGAATGTTTCAGAGGGAGACCTTGAACTTTCCCTCCCTTCTGCACCTGTTAACTGTAATGACAACAGAAGGAGCCAAATTTGGGAAGACAGAAGTAAAACACTCAGTTTGCGTCGATCCTCCCGAATTCAAGAATTAAAAACATTGGCTTCAAAACAGAAGGGCGGTTCACGGAACCGATTCTTGAGTTTTAATTGCAATACGCCAGGCTGATTCCCTCAGTTCAGGCATCGTTTCAGAATTGATGAAGACCTTGGCAGTTCTCCCGGTTCCCTGGCCATAGTATGGAAAGATTTCTAGGATATCAAGTACGGTTAGTGGATTGCTAACAGATTCAAGTATTTCTCAGAGAGGCTTTTGGTTTTGCTTTGTCCATTTAAATTCATGTTTGCTGATTTTGCTGTGGCTTTTGACTTGCATTTTTCCTTTATTTTGTAACCATTTTTCTTCAATAAAAAAGGATTGTTTTTCACAGCCAAATGTGGTGGATAGTTATCTTAGGCCTCGTTCTCTACTCTGGATTGCAACAGTTGCACCAGCTCCACTGGGTGCCAATTAGCTTCTGAGCACAATTCAAAGTGCTGGTTTTAACCTACAAAACCCTATACGGTTCCAGCCCGGTTTACCTGTCCGAATGTATTCTCCTCTATGAACCATCAAGGCTATTAAGATCTTCTGGAGTGGCCCTTGTAATAGATCTACCTTTTAGTCGGCTAGGCCGAAGCCTGCATAACAGTGGCTGGCATCTTGGTAGTCAAGCAGAGCAGGAGGAGGAGTCAGGCTGACTCCTGATTGGGTGTAGCAATTGGGGGAGGAGTCAGCTTAGAGAGGGAAAATAAGCTGCCTGTTTTGACAGAGAGAAAGGAGGGTTTAGACTAGAGACAGAGAAGGTTGTGTTTTTGAGATAGGAAGTTACAGCAGGGATCTGACAGAAAGGGAAGAGCTTTTAGTGAGCCTTTAGGTTAGGGAATAAGGTTAAGACATTAGGCTAGAGTTTTACTACGTTGAGAGGACTAGTAAAAGAGAGCTGTGTCTTATTAAACTTAAGAGAGGTTTAAAGATACCTTATAGCCCAGTGAGTGAGGCAGACTGGAGTCTGTGCTCTAAGAGAAACTGTGTCTAAAAGTAGAACAGTTTGTTAAAGGGACTCACAGCTGTAAAAGCTATTCTGTCAGGGGAACTGTTTGTTTTAAGTAACCAAGTTTATGCAACTGAGTCAAGATTCTGTACCACTCATTTCCAACGAGTTGTTGTTAATATCAAGTTAAATAAACTCTTTCTTAGTTTACTGTTAACTGGTGTATGCCTCAATCCATTCGTTTCCCTCAGAACTCATTCTCTCAACTCATTTTTAAAGTCCAGTCAGCTAGGGAGGAAGCCATAGAAGACCAAGAGCGCAAACACCCTTTACCTAAATACATTCACACCCTTTTGGTTCCTCAGGCCAGTAATTTCTGAGGTGGTGGCGGCAAATACTACCAAGAACATTCGGTCACTTGCATTTACAACATAGGGCCAGCCTTGTAATTGAGCTATATCGAACGGCAGAGGTGTGATCGCTGTGTCCACCCTGCCCAGATATTCCTTTAATTCGTTATAGCCCTGCTCTTGGTCCCGCCACTTTCGCAATTGCATCTGGCAGGAACGAGAGACAGGGCCTTTTCTGTGGTGGCCCCTCAGCTATGGAACTCTCCCCCAATTGAGATCAGATCTACCCCCTCCCTCCTGTCCTTCAGGAGGCTAGTGAAATCCTGGCTATGGAAGGAAGCATTCCCAGAATAATGGTTGAGACCGGCTACTGAACAAAGTTATCGACCACACATATGGATTGAGTTGGACATGATTTTATCTTGGTGATTTGGCTTATTTGTAATTTAATCTATATGTATTTTAACTTGTTGTTATTGTATGATGTTTTTAGACTGTATTATTAGTATTGAATCCTTGCTGTGAGTCGGTCTGAGTCCCTCTACAGAGGTAGAGAAGATCGGGATATTAAAAGTTTTAAATAAACAGGACTCGGATTAACTTAATAAAGCCTTGTAATTGGATTCCATACCAACACAGTGGTTTCAAAAAATCCTAAACAAATTGAGAGATTTTGTCCCTGCTAGGCAAGGCCCCAGTCCTCAGATTTTAAAGATAGATTTACATTTAGGCATGTTTGTCTGTAATTACAGTACACACATTGATTTACATAAGTGTTAACTCACCATCCAACAACTGATTCAATGAGTTGGTATTCAAGCCATAGACTGTAATTTCTACCGTCTTCCTTTTGATTACATGAATAGTATTCAATCTGGCAATTTATATTCAGTGCAAATACATAAATTTCCTAATAAATTGGCCTCATGTAAGCCGCTCCGAGTCCCCTTGGGGAGATGGTGGCAGGGTATAAATAAAGTTTTTTATAATAATAATAATAATAATAAGTTGTTTATTAATTTGCTAAGAGTTCAGAGTGGTATCCATTTCTTGTTCCCTTTTATCTTGACGTAGCTCTGTGTCAGGCTGAGGAATACCTAAGTAATCCAGGGTAAAAAGGAACAGCCATGGCTGGATTTCACCATAAAGCTATCTAGTCCACACAACAATCCTGGGAAGACCAGAAACCAGGCAAAGAAGATATGAACACCAACAGCACTTTTAGCATCTGTCCTTGTTCTAAATTAACTGGTACACAGTGGCAACACAGAAGTGACATACAGCTATACTAGGGACGAATAACCAACAGTATTTTTACCCACTGGAATTCCCTATAATCTGTTTTGTAATCTGTCTAATTGACTGCCAACACTTCATTGCATGATGCCAAATTCCAATCTGACTACTGTGTAAAGTAAGGTAAAGGTAGAGGTTTCCCCTTCACATTAGTCATGTTACACTCTGGGGTGGTGGTGCTCATCTCAATTTCTAAGCCGGAGAGTCGGCGTTGTCCATAGACACCTCTAAGGTCATGTGGCCAGCATGACTGCATGGAGCGCAGTTATCTTCCCACCATGGCGGTACCGATTGATCCATTCACATTTGCACGTTTTTGAACTGCTAGGTTGGCAGAAGCTGGGCCTAACAGCGTGAGCTCACCCTGCTCCCTGGATTTGAACCACTGACCTTTCGATCAGCAAGTTTAGCAGCTCAGCGGTTTAACCCACTGTGCCACTGTGGGCTCTATAGTGTAAAGCAGGGGTCCTCAAACTCTTTAAACAGACGGCCAGGTCACAGTCCCTCAAACTGTTGGAGGGCTGGATTATAATTTGAAAAAAATGAATGAATTCCTATGCACACTGCAGATATCTTATTTGTATGGCAAAAAAAAAAAAACTCCACTTAAAAACAATACAATAATTAAATTGAAGAACAGTTTTAACAAATATAAACTTATTAGTATTTCAATGGGAAGTGTGGGCCTGGTTTTGGCTGATGAGATAGGATTGTTGTTGTTGTGTGCTTTCAAGTCCTTTCAGACTTAGGTTGACTCTGAGCAAGGGCCGGGTAAATGGCCTTGGAGGGCCCTATCCGGCCCTTGGGCCTTAGTTTGAGGACCCCTGCATTAGACTTCCATGATATGAACTGCTTTGGCTTGGTAGTGTCATTTTCTGTAAGATACCCATGCACCAAACTACCCCTTCAGTTTCAATCTAAAATTTGCTGAAATTCAGCCCTACAACTGATTGGAAGTCAATTTCTAGTTTTTATCTCCAGTGTTTTCTTTGATGTTTATTTAAAAAAATATTTTTGTTTGGTTTGACTAAAAATCATGTTTGGGGAAAGCAAAACTGAACTAGAAAGGCTTTCTTTTAAAAAATCCAACATTTTAATTGTAAAATCTAGAGACGCGGAAACCCAGTGAGAATTTGATGTGGCAGCATTTTCTCAACACTTTCCACCTGAATAGAGAAAAGTAACACTTGTGATATGTGGAAGCTTTGCCATCTATRTATATAAATAAAATGTAATGTTAGGGTAGGATTAACATAACTCAAAAACCACTGGACAAACTGACACCAAATTTGGACACAATACACCTATCAGGCCAATGAGTGACCATTACTCAGAAAAACACAGAAAAACATAGCAGAAGAGACMTAAAAAGCCTAAAAATTAAAACATACATTACAACGCATGCACAAWACCACATATATACACATATACAGAAATATATACACACACAAAACACATATACACAGACTGGGCCACAGCAACACATGGCAGACTCTGTTACAAAATTTGAAAAAAAAATCTGTTCTGGTTTGAAAGTGTTATTTCCTGTTTAGTTGTGCGGGACTTACTTTGAAAGTAGTTGTTACACTCCAGAAACTTTGTTTTTGTGGCTGCCACAAACTATGTTGAACTGGTTGAGATTCATTGAAAAAACTGTGCTGCAGGATGTCCTGCAAAAACAAAGTTTTGGCAGTTTAATAAACTTTTTGTCCATATTTATTTTAATAGAAATAATAAAGAAATGACATTTATAACCTAGGAATAAAAATTGTGTTACGTAGTGCACTCAGAAGTGATGGGAACTGTTGTTCGGTGTCATTGGGGGACCTAAACTGGATACAAACTATTGTCGAAGGCTTTCATGGCTGGAATCACTAGGTTTTTGTGGGTTTTTTCGGGCTACAGGGCCATGTTCTAGAGGCATTTCTCCTGACGTTTCGCCTGCATCTATGGCAAGCATCCTCAGAGGTAGTGAGGTCTGTTGGAATAAGGACAATGGGTTTATATATCTGTGGAATGGCTGGGGTGGGGCAAAGAGCTCCAACAGAGAAGAGCTATTCCAACAGACCTCACTACCTCTGAGGATGCTTGCCATAGATGCAGGCGAAACGTCAGGAGAAATGCCTCTAGAACATGGCCCTATAGCCCGAAAAAACTCACAAGAACCTGGATACAAACTAATCCTAGAGTTGGAAGAGACCTCATGGGCCATCCAGTCCAACCCCCTGCCAAGAAGCAGGAACATTGCATTCAAATCACCCCTGACAGATGGCTGTCCAGCCTCTGTTTAAAAGCTTCCAAAGAAGGAGTCTCCACCACACTCCGGGGCAGAGAGTTCCACTCTTGAACGGCTCTCACAGTCAGGAAGTTCTTCCTAATGTTCAAGCAGAATCTGCTTTTTTGTAGTTTGAAGCCATTGTTCACATCGTAGTCTCCAGGGCAGCAGAAAGCAAGCTTGCTCCCTCCTCCCTATGACTTCCTCTCACATATTTATACATGGCCCTCATCATGTCTCCTCTCAGCCTTCTCTTCTTCAGGCTAAACATGCCAAGATCTTTAAGCCGCTCCTCATAGGGCTTGTTCTCCAGACCCTTGAGCACAGATCGCTATATGAAAACGAAATTATATTTGGCCCCCTGTATCCACAGATTCAACGACCCTTTGGAAGCTGATGGCAGTGAGTTTGCCCCCCCTGCCCTAAAGATTTTGTGTGATCTTGGAAGCTAAGCAGGGTCAGCCCTGGTTAATACTTGGATGGGAAACAGCCAATGCAATCCAGATGCTATAGGTTGTGATTCAAAGGAAGGAACTGACAAAAAAGGGCCTCTTTGCATTCCTTGCCTAATAAAACCCTGTGAAATGAATGGGGCCACCATAAGGCCACATATCCTGTGCTTGCCCTTAGCAGATCTACTTATCCCATGCAAGGCACCACCAATTACCTCGGTATGTGTCCTGCCCTTGAAAGTACAGGGTTAAAAAGAACCAGGGGCATTCGCGTGGCATCCGCCGCCATGCATCTCTTGTATCTCTATGGTGAAACTACCAGCGGCTTTGCATTGGGAACCACAGATAGAACGAGATCGCTTGGGGATCGGAAGTAGGAAGTTGACACTCACATTCCTACCTCTATCTGTCTTTGTCCACCTCGGCCGAAGCGGAGTGCGACGCATAGACTTAGGATAGATAAACCCATCAGCTTCATGACTTCCGGGCTTATATGAATAGGTACAACTCCTAGGACTCTTAATTACATTGAGCAGTTAAAGCGACGTCGAATTGCAATCATTCTACAGTGTAGCTGCAACTTAGGAAACTAAAGAAATAACAAATCTGGTGCACGTTAGGAAATAAAAAAACAATAAATCAGATGCACCGTAAGAAATAAATAAGAATAACAATATATAATATTATTATATACTAGCTGTCCCCTGCCATGCGTTGCTGTGGTCCAGTCTGTGTATATGTGTTTTGTGTGTGTATATATGTGTTTATGCGTGCGTCTATATGTGTGTTTGCATATATATATATATATATATATATTTATATGTACATATGTATGTGTATCTATATACACATACATATATACACCATACATATATTTGTGTGTTTATGTGTACATACATATTGTGTATATGTGTGCTTGTCTATATGCATATTTGTGTGCATATATGTGTGTATGTATGTGTATATGTATATGTGTGTGCATGTGTATATGTATATATGTATGTGTGCATGTATGTAGGCAGGAAAATTTAATCAAAGTCCTCCTGACAAAGAGCCATCCAGCCATAGATAGATAGATAGAGATATAGATAGATAGATATGTTTCACACAGAGAGAGAGAGATAGGTAAAGGTAAAGTTTTTTTTTTGTTGTGTCAGGAGCGACCTGAGAAACTGCAAGTCGCTTCTGGTGTGAGAGAATTGGCCGTCTGCAAGGACGTTGCCCAGGGGACCCAGATGATTTGATGTTTTATCATCCTTGTGGGAGGCTTCTCTCATGTCCCCGCATGAGGAGCTGGAGCTGATAGAGGGAGCTCATCCGCCTCTCCCCGGATTTGAACCTGCGACCTGTCGGTCTTCAGTCCTGCCAGCACAGGGGTTTAACCCACTGCCCCACCAGAGTAAAGGTAAAGGTTTCCCCCCGACATTAAGTCCAGTTGTGTCCAACTCTAGGGGTTAGTGCTCATCTCCATTTCTAAGCTGAAGAGGCATTGTCCGTAGATGCCTCCAAGGTCATGTGGCCAGCATGACTGCATGGCGTGCTGTTACCTTCCTGTTGGAACGGTACCTATGGATTTACTCACATTTGCATATTTTTGAACTGCTAGGTTGGCAGAAGCTGGGCCTACAGCGGAGCTCACTCCATGGATTCGAACCATCGACCTTTCGATCAACAAGCTCAGCAGCTCAGTGCTTTAACCCACTGCGGCACCGGGATATATAGTATCATAGATTTGAAAGGGAGCCCTAAAGAAGGACAATTATATGTTGCATGTTCCAGAGTACGCAAATCAGACAATCTCCACATCAACACTGACATTGAAACAACAATGAATACTCAGTTCTTGTGGGTTTTTTCGGGCTATATGGCCATGTTCTAGAGGGATTTCTCCTGACGTTTTGCCTGCATCTATGGCAAGCATCCTCAGAGGATCCTCACCTCTGAGGATGCTTGCCATAGATGCAGGCGAAACGTCAGGAGAAATGCCTCTAGAACATGGCCATATAGCCCGAAAAAACCCCACAAGAACTGAGTGATTCCAGCCATGAAAGCCTCTGACAATACATTGAACAATGAATACTGTTTACCCACAAGCATAAAGGAATTACATATATTAGAAACCATTACTTTATTTTCCAGATCACCAGACTGGGCCACAGCAACGCCTGGCCGGGGACGGCTAGTATATAATAAAAGGCTTGATAATTTTTTAAAAAAGAAATAAATAAGAATAAACTGTTTGTGAACCGCTGTGAGTCGCCTTCGGGCTTGAGATACAGCGGTATATAAGCAAAGTAAATAAAATAAATAAATAATAAACCAGAAGCACCATAGAAAACAAGTCATTCTTTGTGCATCACAACCTGGAAGTTTCACTCCTTACTGAAATCCATGTTGTTGTTCATTCATTCAGTCGCTCTCCGACTCTTCGTGACCTCATGGACCAGCCCACGCCAGAGCTCCCTGTCGGCCGTCACCACCCCCAGCTCCTTCAAGGTCAGTCCAGTCACTTCAAGGATGCCATCCATCCATCTTGCCCTTGGTCGGCCCCTCCTCCTTTTACCTTCCACTTTCCCCAGCATAATTGTCTTCTCTAAGCTTTGCTGTCTCCTCATGATGTGGCCAAAGTACTTCAACTTTGTCTCTAGTATCCTTCCCTCCAATGAACAGCCGGGCTTTATTTCCTGGAGGATGGACTGGTTGGATCTTCTCAGTCCAAGGCACTCTCAGAACTTTCCTTCAACACCATAGTTCAAAAGCATCTATCTTCCTTCGCTCAGCTCTCACATCCGTAGGTTACTACAGGGAATACCATGGCTTTGACTAGGCGGATCTTTGTTGCCAGTGTGATGTCTTTACTATTTTATCAAGATTGGACATTGCTCTCCTCCCAAGAAGTAAGCGTCTTCTGATTTCCTGGCCACAGTCTGCATCTGCAGTAATCTTTGCACCTAGAAATACAAAGTCTGTCACGGCCTCCACATTTTCTCACTCTATTTTCCAGTTGTCAATCATTCTTGTTGCCATAATCTTGGTTTTTTTTATGTTTAGCTGCAACCCAGCTTTTGCGCTTTCTTCTTTCACCTTGATTAGAAGGCTCCTCAGCTCCTCCTCGCTTTCGGCCATCAGAGTGGTGTCATCTGCATATCTGAGGTTGTTAATGTTTCTTCCAGCAATTTTCACCCCAGCTTTGCATTCATCAAGCCCCGCACATCGCACGATGTGTTCTGCATACAAGTTAAAAAGGTTGGGTGAGAGTATGCAGCCTTGCCGTACGCCTTTCCCAATCTTGAACCAGTCTGTTGTTCCGTGGTCAGTTCTGACTGTTGCTACTTGGTCCTGAGACAGATTCCTCAGGAGAGAGATACGGTGGCTTGGGATGCCCATCCCACCAAGAACTTGCCACCATTTATTATGATCCACACAATCAAAGGCTTTAGAATAGTCAATAAAGCAGAAATAGATGTTTTTCTGAAACTCCCTGCCTTTCTCCATTATCCAGCGGATATTGGGAATCTGGTCTCTCGTTCCTCTGCCTTTTCTAAACCCAGCTTGAACATCTGGCAAGCGTTTGGTCAAATGAGCAGGTAAAGAATTGACACTATCTAGGAAAGGTATAATGGAATGGGATCTGGAACCCGGAAAGACGAATGCTGAACACGTGAATTGTTCTATATGTTGTGTTATTGATTGTTAATTGCATTGTGGTTTTATCTATGATAACTGTTTTAATTGTTTTAATTATGATTGTCATTTTGTATAACTGTAATTGTATGGGCGCGGAATGGTGCCTCGTTGTGTAAGCAACGAGGCACCCCTTGTGAGTCTCCCCTTGGGGGTGAGAAGGGCGGGGTATAAGTGCCGGTAATAAAATAATAAAATAATAATAATAGCCAGAGTTCAATTTCTTGCCAGAGGAGGAGAAAAAAAACTGCCTGAAGAAACCCGCTAGTGTCCTCTGCCGCTGGGAATCTATTCTTTTTTTCCCTGTCTCTATGTTCGCGCCCCTCGCGCGCTCTTTCCGGCCCCGCCCACCCGCTCGCGCCAGGACACTTCCCGTCCAGAGTGCCCTGCCTCGAATCATGGACCACAATGGTGAGCGCTTGGCGGGCGTTGGAAAGGAGGGAAGGCCCCTTTTTGGGAAGACCCAACGCATTCCCCCGCTTTCGTCCCAGCCTCTCTCCCTCTCTCGTCGTCCACAAGCCGCCCAATTTGAGCGGGAGGGAGGCCTGAGGGAGCGGCGAGGCCTTTAGAAGCGTTGAGGCCTTGTTTGAAAAGAGCGGCCGGCGGCGGCGGGGGGGGGTGTGTGAAGGAGGCTGCGCAGGCGCACTTGGGCCTTCGTGACTTGAGGCCTAGCGCGCTTTGAGGGGATTTGGGTTTTCCCATGATAAGGAGAAGAGGCCCAAATTGAGCGGGACGAGGCCTTCAGAGAATAGCAAAGTCCGCGCTAGGCCTCTTCCTCCTTACCCTGTCTGCCTTTCCTTCCTTACCCCGCTGCTTCTTTTTGCCCCCGCCTTCTGCCCATGGGATCCTGGGAGTTTTAAGTTTTACCAGGCATTTCGTCTTCTCTGCTACTTAGGCAGAAAGAAGAAACCTAGAGAACCTATCTTGTTTGTTACTTGGGAACTTGCTTGCATGCTGGTCGCTTCTGGGGCGAGAGAATCAGCCGTCTACGAAGACGTTGCCCAGGGGACGCCCGGATGTCTTGCAATCCTGCGAGGAGGCTTCTCTCATGTCTCATGTCATGTCATGTCTCTCATGTCAGCAAGCGAGAGTCCAAAAGTGGCAGGCTCAAACCCAGCACCGCAATCCGTGGGTGATACCAGATGAGAGACTCCCTCCTGGGCACACAGAACACTGGGCGACTTGGAAGGCGCTGAACAGACTGCGCTCTGGCACCATGAGATGCAGAATACTATAATATAAATGGGTTCCTGAATCATCATCATCATCACTTTATTTCTTAATTAGTTGCTCTCCACCAAGGTTTATTTGTCGTGTCAGAGCAACCAGTCCATTATATTACATTTCTAACAGAACAAAGCAAACAAACAGAAAAATACAAAACTTGTGAGTTTGGTAGTTGGTTAAATGTCCTTTGACCAGTATCTGGCCACTTGGAGTGCTTCCGGTGTTGCTGCAAGAAGGTCCTCCATTGTGCATGTGGCAGGGCTCAGGTTGCATTGCAGCAGGTGGTCAGTGGTTTGCTCTTCTCCACACTCGCATGTCGTGGATTCCACTTTGTAGCCCCATTTCTTAAGGTTGGCTCTGCATCTCGTGGTGCCAGAGCGCAGTCTGTTCAGCGCCTTCCAAGTCACCCAGTCTTCTGTATGCCCAGGAGGGAGTCTCTCATTTGGTATCAGCCATTGGTTGAGGTGCTGGGTTTGAGCCTGCCACTTTTGGACTCTCGCTTGCTGAGGTGTTCCAGCGAGTGTCTCTGTAGATCTTAGAAAACTATTTCTAGATTTAAGTCGTTGAGATGCTGGCTGATACCCAAACAGGGGATGAGCTGGAGATGTCTCTGCCTTGGTCCTTTCACTATTGGCTGCTACTTCCCGGCGGATGTCAGGTGGTGCAATACCGGCTACAGTGTAATTTCTCCAGTGGTGTAGGGCGCAGACACCCCGTGATAATGCGGCATGTCTCATTAAGAGCCACATCCACTGTTTTAGTGTGGTGAGATGTGTTCCACACTGGGCATGCATACTCAGCAGCAGAGTAGCACAAGGTGCTCCGAGCGACTTACAATTTAAAACAGTTTATACACAATATAAAGCGTTCAATATAAAAACATTCAACATAAAAACATTCAACATAAAAACATTCAGCAGTGACTATGGCAAAATTTGATCCGGTTACTTAAATGCACAGCCAAACAGCCAAGTCTTGAGCGCCTTTGCAAAAGGTCGCAACTCCGACATTGCTCTAATATATGGAGGCAATGAGTTCCACAGAATTGGAGCATTGATCGAAAAAGCTCTACGCCTTGTAGATTCCAGTGGGTTAAAGCACTGAGCTGCTGAGCTTGTTGATCGAAAGGTCACAGGTTCGATTCCGGGGAGCGGCGTGAGCTTCCGCTGTCAGCCCTAGCTTCTGCCAACCTAGCAGTTCGAAAACATGCAAATGTGAGTAGATCAATAGGTACCGCTCCGGTGGGAAGGGAACGGCGCTCCATGCAGTCATTCCGGCCACATGACCTTGGAGGTGTCTACGGACAACGCTGGCTCTTCGGCTTAGAAATGGAGATGAGCACCACACCCCAGAGTCAGACATGACTGGACTTAATGTCAGGGGACTACCTTTACCTTTAGGACCCGGTATGTAGAGGAGATTTTCCTGGGTGGATCGAGGTGACCACTGATGGGGAAAAGGAATGAATGAAATGCATACAACAAAAATACCACTTGTATAACATAAACAATAATATAATTCAACAACAGTAAATAAACATGCTGCACTGTTAACCTCACAGCGACAACAAACAACATGGTGCAGATTTTTAGTACAGTCGTATCTTCTTATAAGTAGCTTGTGGATCAGCCGTCCACGACCGGTTTCGGCCTACCTCAGGCCTTCCTCTGGTGGACTGAAATTAATGTACAAATCAATGTTTTACTCCAGTAGCATACATATAGAACATCTGTATCATTAAATATCATAAGTTACAAACATTTAAGTACTTACAAAGTTATACACTATAACTTATTCTATGAGTGCTAGTGCCTCAGCATACAACAAGTCCCTTTATTTATCGTGTCAGAAGCGAATTGGGAATACAGTTATAATGCATAAAATACTACAAGCAGTTAAGTATTTGAGTGTGTCTGGTGTCGCTGAAAGGAGGTCCTCTAATGTGGTACGGTCCAAGGTCTTTCGCCTTCTCTGTCAAAAGGTGCTGGTGCCTAACCAAACTACAAATCTCAGGTTTTACAACAGCACCCTTAGTTTGCAAAAGTTTATTCATGGATCAGTATTCAAAGGGATCTAGTAGCACCTTTGAGATTAACTGAGAGAAAAAAGTTGGTAGCATAAACATTTATAAACTGAAGTCTACAAAAGCCTATGCTTCTGACATCTTTCTTTCAGTCTCTTAAGGTGCTGCAAGATCTTTGTGTCTAATCTTACCAGTACGAGAGATGATTGGTTGTTGTTGTGTGCCTTCAGTTCGTTTCCACCCTGAGTTAACCCTATCACCTGGTTTTCTTGGCAAGCTAAGAGGAGGTGTGCCATTGCCTTCCTCAGGCTGAGAGAGTGGGAATTCACCAAATTCACCAGTGAGTTTCCAGGCTGAATGGGGATTTGATCCTTGATCTCCAGACACTCAAAACACTGCTTCAAGCTGGACCATAGCAGGAATTAAAAGTTCAATGTTGGGGGTCACAACAATTTGGCAGCAGTAAATGAATGCCACCTAGTTGCACAAATTTGTCTTGTTGTGAAAACAAGGATTGATGATAGTTTCAGTTGAGATACCTTTCCCCTTCATAATTCTTTCAGAAGTGAATTTCCCTTCTGAGGGGAAGGTTTTTTTCACTTCCTGTTCTCTTAACTATGAGTTGTTTGTAAATTGAATGTTAGCAACCAGGGGACTGCCTGTACACATATGAGTCTCTGTATTAAAATATTTCATTGAAATAGCTTCCTTCACTAGAATACATTGATGGTTTCTGTTGACTAAGTGGTTTAGTAGCAACACTTGCATCTGGGAATTTCCTGTGAGACAAGTATTCTACCATAATTGGAGACAAACCCATTTTAAGAATGTACACAAAATAAAGGTCTGACAGCATCTACAGTGTAGATTGAATACAGTTTGACACCACTTTAACCGCCATGACTCAATGTGATGGAATCATTGGAGCTGGAATTTTACAAGATATTTAGCCTTCTGTGTCAGTAAGTGCTGTGCCTCTCCAGACTATAAGTCCCAGGATTCCTTAGCATCCAGCAATGGCAAAGTGGTGGCAAACTGCAATAATTCCACAGTGTAGATGAACTCAAAGTGTGCTTATTTGTTAGAACACAAACAAAAGCTTGATTCATATTAAATTTATAAGGTACATGCCTGAAACTGGCCAAAGTGTGTCAGTTAACGTGAGACAAATGTATGTGATTAGGCTGTGTAATTTGCATATTGATATTAAAGGCCCACAAAATGGGTGACATTCAGAGTCTGTGTATGGAAAAATTCCTATTAACATTAGTAGGACTTCGTATGAGTCACTTTGTTGAGGTTTGTGGTGGATATATGTTGGTGCAAGGTATGCAAGCTCTTGTAAAATTACTGTGCACCATTTCATTTTTTTAAAAAGCATACTGTATTAAGTATCTAGAAATACTATTCAAATAAAGACACCTAATTTGCATTTGAGTTTGATGGTAGTGGTGTGGTTGGGATGGTGCCATCCAAGGCCTCCCCCTGGTGGCTTATGCAACCCTCTTAGACCCCATCTACATTGCCATCTAATGCAGTTTCAGACTCTCCCCTGAAGAGGACCCAAAGTGGCTTAATAGTGTATGTATGACTCTTTGTTAATCAGATTTTTTTTTAGAAATCTCTTGTGCTCCTTTGCAAATATATAGGTCTAAGATGAGTAATGCCTTATGGAATTAATAAATAGTTTAGAATTTTGTATGGAATCAAATACTGTGTGTGGTGCAACAGGTAAAAAACTGAACTATTTCTGTTTACATTTTTACACAGACAATGATTTGCAAGGTACAAATAGTACTGGGACATTGGGTGGTCTTGATGTTCGCCGACGTATCCCTATAAAGCTTATCTCCAAACAGACCAACAAAACAAAGCCTACACCACCTCGTCCTGCAAGAAGTATGAATAGAGTACCATCAAAACCTGGAGAAGAAGGTAAATTGCTTTGAAAAACAGCATATGGGAGTCCCAGAAGATTTTTTTTTTGTAGTTTCCAAAATCTGTTGTTGTTGAGTGCCTTCAAGTTGTTTCTGACTTTTGACTACCCTAAGGCAGTTTTCTGGAGCCGAGTGTGTAAGACTCGCCCAAGGTCACCCAGTGGTTTTCCATGGCCGAGTGGGGAATTGAACCCTGGTCTCCAGAGTCATAATCCAGTGCTCAAACCGCTTACTATTTTATATATTTTAAAAGTCCAGTATGTACAAAATTATGATTACATTTTTCCTTTAAAAATTCTCCTCTCCACCATTTGGTTTTTAAAATAGTATTAGCATGATTATACCTCCCTATAGATGGAATTGTGTATGTTTTGCATTGTCTAGTCTGCAGAACTTCCCGCGATTAGGCAAAGACGTTATGTGTCAGTATGCACAGTATGGTAATGTGCTGATATGGGCAGTATGCTTTCATATCATTTCCAACTTCTGGCTGCCCTAATGGGAATCTGCCGTGGGTGTTCTTGGCCAGATTTGTCCAGAGAGACTTTGCTTTGCCTTGCCTTCCTCTTACTTAAGGAGAGTGTGACTTGGCCACCCAGTGGATTTACATGACTGAGCAGGGATTTTCTGGTCTCCAGAGTCATAGAACAATATTCAAACCAGTACACCATGCTTGCTCTCCACAACCACCATAAAGGTTGATTTATGCTGTTCATCAAGGCATGATGGAAAATGAATTGAAGAATGGGAAGTACAGGGTGCGGCAGCATAACTTCCCTTTTTTAAAATGTGCGCCATTCAGTCGGTTGAAGATGTAGCAGAGCGCTAGTGGTCTTGTTCGAGAAGCGGGAGTATAAAGTTTTGTCCTGACACAGTTCAGTCGCCATCATGCGTTGGAACAGTGAGGAGTGTGCTTTTGGTGTTGAGGCCTACTTTTTGAGCGGATGTTCTGTGATCGCAACCCAGAGCGCCTTTCGGAATCGCTTTAATTTAGCCCCATTGGCCCCTGTCCCAGACCAGAAATCAGTTGTGACATGGGTCACTACATTCAGACAAATTGTAAGTGCGACAAGACGAAGAACTGGAGTCCCTCGGCCCATTAGATCACCTGAGAACATTGAGGCAGTGAGAGCTTCAATGTTGCGATCACCACAGCGTTCTGCGCGCAAACATGCGTCTGCCCTTGGACTTTCCGATCATTCTGTGAGGAGAATTCTTCATGATGATCTTCATTTCCATCCTTACAAGCTGACAATTGTGCAGGAACTTTCTGAACGTGACTTCAATTCGGAGGAACGTGTCTGAGGTTCTTCTCGAAGTCGTTCCTGAGGATGCTATTGTTTTTTTTAGTGATGAAGCCCATTTTCATTTGTGTGGATCCATCAACAAACAAAACATGCGCTACTGGGCTGACAACAATCCTTGAGAATTGCATCAAAGGCCTTTGCATTCACCTAAAATCACAGTGTGGTGTGCAATTTCCTCAGCTGGAATTATTGGTCCCTGGTTCTTTGAGGAAAATGAAGTCGCAGTGACAGTGAATTCGGACCGGTATGTAAACATGTTACAGGATTTTTTTCCCCACGGCTAGATGGGTTGGACTTAGGGGACATTTGGTTCCAACAAGATGGTGCAACTGCACACACTTCAAGAGCATCGATGGCTGTTTTGAGGGAACACTTCCCAGAGCGCCTCATCTCAATTAGGGGGGATTTGGAGTGGCCGGCCCGCTCTCCAGATTTGGCCCCTTGTGATTTTTTTCTATGGGGTTTTTTGAAATCCCGTGTTTATGTGAACCATCCAAGGACCCTACAAGATTTGAAGACTAACATCCAGGAAGAAATTGCCAACATAACGCCTGCTATGCTGGCAAGAGTCATGACAAACGACAGAAATCGGTTTACTCAGTGTATGGAGAATGGGGGACATCACCTACCTAATTTGATCTTCAAAACTATGTAAAACAAAACTTTAGGTATGCGCCTACATTATATATAAAAAAATTATGATTCATACAATGGGTTTTATTAAGTTTTGAAAAAGGAAATTATGTTGCTCACCCTGTAGTTTTTATTTAAAGACTAGCTTGAGAACCCAGCATTGCCTGGGTTATTTGAAAAGGTCAATTTTTAATTGTACAAAATGCAAAAGGTGAACTACAACTACATCATGCCAGGTTAACCCATGAAACTCCGCCAGCAGTTAAAGTTCGTCATGTTGGGCAAGTTAGCTCTAATGCATCATTGGTGGACTTCAGTGTGCTCTGTGGCTGCAGGATGAACTACAGCTCCCACTATGATGGGTCAGTTTCCCTCAAATCCCTCCAGTATGTTCGGATGGTCATGGGGATTCTGTGTGCCAAGTTTGATCCAGGTTCATCATTGTAGGTGTTCAGTTTCTCTGGTTGTAGGTGAACTACAACTCCCCAAAATTAAGATCAATCCCTCCCAAGCCCCTCAAGTATTCAAATTTGGGCATATCAGGTATGTGTGCCAAATTTGGTCCAGGTCCATCATTGGTGGAGTCCAGAGTGCTCTTTGATTGCTGGTGAACTATAAATCCCAGTACCTACTACTCCCAAATGCTAAGACCATTTCACCCCAAATCCTACCAGTATTCAAATTTGGGCATATCTGGTATGTTTGCTAAATTTGATCCAGATCCATCATTGTTTGAGTTCACAGTGTTGTTTGGATGTAGGCGAACTACAACTCCTATAAATCAGACTGAATTCGCCCCAAAGCCCTCCAGGAATGTTTGTTGTTCATGAGAGTTCTCTGTGCTAAGTTATGTTCAGGTCCCTCGTTTGTGGGGATCAGAATGCTCTTAGATTGCAGGTGATCTGTACATTCCAGTAGCTACAACACCTTCATTGATGTGGGTTATAGTTGATTTTATTACAAGAGCCAACAAATATGGATTATTATACACTAGAAACGGAGTTAAACATCTTTGAAAAATGAATGAACACTTTTATTGACCAAGAACAGCCAAGTTAATGTTTTAATAATGGAAGAAAACTGTAAATTTTGTATATTTTTCTTCAATCTGTTTTAGACATTTTTCTTTTTTGCGTTTAAATTGCAAAAATTGGAATGAACTGGTAGACTATTAGCCATTGGAGTTTGCTAATATTAAGAATTTGGGGCTTTTTTTTCTTCCACAGAAGAATTCGACTACAACGATGAAGAACGGTATGAATGTAAAAGTGGTGAAGTATTTAGTAATCAGAGGAGGTTCCCTGGACACCTTTTCTGGGACTTCAAGGTGAACAAATAGACTCTGTAGTCTGCTGATTCTCTTACATTAATTCTTAATGATAAAGGAAGCCAGAATACTGTTTTGAATCGGAATTTGGGATCTTGTTTTTTAAAACATAGATATAATATAATGACCAATGCTTTGTTACTAAAGAAATGCGGAGTAGTGCAAGTTGAGCATTCCTTGTCTGAAATGTCTTCAAACAAAAATGTCCAGTTTGGAATAATTGCACATAGATGATGAGATATCTTGTAGATGACACCCAAGTCTAAACACAATGTTTATTTATGGATATAATTTTATATACAATATATTTAATAATTTTGTGCAAGAAACAACATTATTTCTTGAACTAGGAAAAAATGGAAGTGTCATTATTCCAGCTGCCCATGTGGATGGTTTTGGATTTTGAAGTATTACAGAAGTTGTAAATAAGGGATTTTTTTTTCATGTCAGAAGTGACTTGAGAAATTGCAAGTTGCCTCTGGTGTGACAGAATTGGCTGTCTGCAGGGATGTTGCCCAAGGGACGCCTGGATTTGTTACCATCCTGTGGGAGGTTTCTCTCATGTCCCCTCATGGGAAGCTGGAGCTGACAGGCAGGAGCTCACCCCATCTTGCGGATTCAAACCGCCAACCTTCACGTCAGAAGTTCAGCCGGAACAAGGGTTTAACCCATTGTGCCACCATGGTTCCAAATAAAGGATAATCAACTGTTTAATGCTGTTCATAGTTTTAAATTCTGCAGAAAAATTGACTCAGGCATTTTGTAGATCTCCATACATTGTGTGTAGATTTGTGTTGACAATGGGTTTTTAAAACTTAGTTACTGCTGTCTTAATAGATAAATTTGCTTGGAGAGAAGGATGATACCCCAGTACATTTCTGTGACAAGTGTGGGCTACCCATCAAAATGTATGGACGCATGGTAAGTAGAACCATAGTGTTTAACCCAGAGCAATCACATAGTCAGATGATAGTGATAGTCCCCTGCTCCCCCCCCCCCCAATAATGTACTATCGCCTTGTTTCTGGCTCATGTATACAATGTGTATACATGACAAGGGGCATTGGTTTTCTTGTGTAGGCTTTTAGTTAAGGTCAACCCTTTGATCTGTCCAGGTCCTTGTGGTTTTGCAGATTTGTGTGAGTGTTTTTGTGTCAAACAAGAAAACATGGAATTGTAGGCAGTTTCCTTTTTGTACATTTATTTACAACATATACACAGTTCTTTCCCCCCTCTGTTTTATTTTTTCAACCACCTTATGGATTGCTTGGCTGAAGAGAGTTACTTGGCCGAGTCATTTAAAGGGCAAAGTCATGACATACAACTGGGTTTGCTCATGTTTTGGATTGCACTGGTTCCAGCACTATCCCAAATTAAGAAAGGTTTGCTCTCAGCTTCAATACCTTTCATCCTTTGGAGAGAACTAGAGTGTTTAATTAAACAGCAGTACTCTACCTCTGATTATAGGCTGTGAAATCATGGAGCAATTCAGATTATTTTCCCATTCAGTGTGTATGCATTTTAAGGGGAAGACTTTTACAGAACCTTTAGGACTATGCAGAAGAGAGTATGAAGTCTTTTTCATTGTATGAAGTCTTTTTCATTCCTGGCAGCTGAATAATAGTGCATTTTAAACATGATCAATCTCAAAGTGTGGATCTTTCATTGTGTTAATTTGTATGTACTGGTTTCTTCAGTATAGTTCTTTTGATGTTGTTTGTTGTTTTTTAGATACCATGCAAGCATGTTTTCTGCTATGAATGTGCTCTTTTACATGAAAAGAAGGGTGACAAAATGTGTCCAGGGTAAGTTTATTCATGCATTCTTTAAAGTGCGGGAATAGTCTTCTCCTTTTTTAAATGATTGCATTGCTTGATTCCACTTTTTCCCTCTTTAAGTGGGTTATTTGAACCCTTTCCTATTTTACTATAGACGAGGAGAAGCAAATCAAGTGCTGTTTGTGTTAGGATGAAATTATAGAACATAGTGATTGGCTGAAAATTGTTGTGTTTTATGAGCACTTTATACCATATTCTGTAGTTGTTATTAGAGACCATGGGTATTATGAAATTTCAGTGCTCATCTTTATTTGTTCTATATTTCATATAATTGAAGAATATATAACTATTCAAGTGATCCGTGAATTGCTAAGAAATTATTTTTTTAACGCATATATGCTTGTATTCTACTGTTAAAATTATGGAACAAATCTCTATCACAATGATTTTAACTGTTTTATAATTGCTTTTGATACATGTTTTATTTTATTGTTGTTGTTGGCATCGAATTGTGCCTTTTGTAAGCCGCCCTGAGTCCCCCCCTCGGGGGTTGAGAAGGGCGGGGTAGAAATGCGCGAAATAAATAAATAAATAAATAAATAAACAAACCATTTTATTTCGGAAAATGTATCAGTAAGGTAAAGTTTGCTCTCATAATCCTGTATTGGAGATGATTGCTTATTGCTACTCATATGGGTGGATTTTGGATAATAATTTCATTTCATTGTAAGAAAATGGTATGAGTGATATGTCATACATTGATTTGTTAATAATTAAATGTTGTGTATTCTGTCATTAGGAAATGGCATTCCTTTAATATTTCAATTGCTTGCATTCCTTCTAATATACTGTATATATTCAAGTATAAGCCTAGTTTTTCAGCCCTTTTTTAGGCTGAAAAAGCTCCCCTAAGCTTATACTCGAGTCAAGGTTATTTATTATTTTACTCTATTATTATTATTATTATTATTATTATTATTATTATTATTATTATACTACATTTATAGGTTAGCTTTATTATTTTCATTATTATTACATTTATTATTTTACTCTATTATTATTGGAAGGATATGTAAACACATGTACATTGAAGAAGGTTAGAATAATGGTTTGGTCAGAGTTGGAAAGTCTTATCTTACAGTTTTATGTAAATATTAATAAACAGGCAATCTACTGATGCCTCAATTAATGTAATTTTATTGGTATCTATTTTTATTTTGAAACTGACCCATAGCTGCTGCATTTCCCATCCTCGGCTTATACTCGAGTCAATAAGTTTTCCCAGTTTTCTGTGGTAAAATCAGGTGCCTCGGCTTGTATTCGGGTCGACTTATACTCGAGTATATACGGTAAACTTAGAGAAAGTCTAAGTGGTATTGGGTGTAAACTTAGCGGGATGTAATAGACTTGCTTTGTGTTTCTGCAACATGAATGGGCAGTGCACTGACAACATCCTTTAAAAAAGAAGGTAAAATCACACATCTGGAAATCTCTAGGAAGCATTGTTCACTTTTAAAATAAGATATGCAACCCTCGCGCGCCTGGTTCTGATAAAGAGTAATGGGTTTTTGAACATGGAAGTGACATTCTGGTCTCTTGCAATTTTGGCAGGAAGGAGGCGCACAACCCGCAGCAATCCTCAGGTTGGAAAATTGGCCCCTATACCTACCCCATATGTAAAAGGTGACACCTTTATTGAAAATGGTTCATTGTTTTTATTGGAGAAAGTGGTTCATTGTTTTTAACAGAGAAAGACTGCAGACACTGCAAGAAGGAGAAAGATAAAATGCTCCTGAAAATTTGATTTGGAAATGTAGGATCTTGTGATTGTATTTGAGTCACTTTCTTGTTTCTTTCCCTCCTTATCTAGCTGTAATGAGCCTGTGCAGCGGATTGAGCAATGTGGGCGAGGGTCTCTCTTCATGTGTAGCATTGTGCAAGGGTGCAAGCGAACGTATTTATCCCAGAGGGACTTGCAGGCTCACATCAACCACCGCCACATGAGAGCTGGCAAACCAGTGGCACGCCCTCCGCTAGAACCTGTTCACCCTCCCATTGTCCCTCCTCCGGCTGAAATCCCAGAGCGCTTCATCATGCCGCCTGATAAGCATCACCTGAGCCACATTCCCCCGAAGCAGCACATCATGATGCCTCCTCCGCCGTTGCAGCATGTGCCCCATGAGCACTATAACCAGCCACATGAAGACACCCGTTCATCCCCGGCAGAAATGTCCATGGCTCCTCCTCCCCCTCGCTCGGTCAATCAAGATACCTTTCGCATGTCGACACGGAAACACAGCAATCTTATAACTGTCCCTATTCAAGATGACTCAAACTCGGGTGCACGAGAACCACCTCCGCCAGCCATGACACCTGCTCATCATCATCCTGAATACCAGGGCCAGCCTGTGGTGGCACACCCTCATCATATTATGCCACCGCAGCAACATTATGCACCACCCCCTCCCCCACCGCCACCAATCAGTCATCCAATGCAGCACCCTCCCCAGGCAGCGGGTACTCCTCATCTGGTGTATAGCCAAGCGCCACCACCTCCTATGACCTCTGCTCCTCCACCAATTACCCCTCCCCCTGGACATATTATTGCCCAGCTGCCGCCATATATGAACCATCCTCCTCCTGGACCACCACCCCCTCAGCATGGGGGCCCCCCTGTAAATGTAAATGCACCCCCTCCCCATCACTATAACCCCAATGCTTTGCCAAAGTTCAGTGAAGACCAAGGAACTCTCAGCCCTCCTTTCACTCAGCCGGGTGGGATGAGTCCAGGCATCTGGCCCGCTCCGAGGGGGCCACCACCAAGAATGCAAGGCCCACCATCTCAAGCTCCTCTTCCTGGACCGCACCATCCCGATCAAGCCAGATACAGGCCATATTATCAATGATATTAGTTGTAATTTGAACTAACGTATGACATAGGAAGGATAACATTCTAAACAGCCACCTTTTAATGATTCTGACTGTTTGGACAGTTCTTTTTTGGTTTGTTTTGCTTCGTTTCCTTGGAAACAAACTTGTGACTGTAAAACTCTGGGGATTTGACTCTTAAGGTAAATTTTTAAAGCCTTGGTTGTAGGACTCTTGGCATCTGATATACTGTAGTGCTAAGTGGCTTTTTAGTTGCCAGATGCGTTTTAACAGGCATTGTACCCATAGTCTGTTTGAACTTCCCCAGATATGAACTATTTGTAATATTTCCTGAACAATTGGACATTTATTGTACCACTTTAAAGTATTTTTGTTAAATTTGATGGTTAGTTTCATTTGTGATACATTTTATTTTTTGTCAACCTGTGTATAATTAAATTTAAAATATGGTCAAAATGCCTGCTTTTTTTGCATGTTTGTTTGGAATGGAATGGAGAGTAAAAAAAGAAATAACACTATGTAATACAGCTTTTGTTCCTGGGTTATAAATGTCATTTTCTAATCAGTTCCATCATAAAAACATGAAAAAAGTTTATTAAACTGCAAAAACTTCGTTTTTTTGTGGAACATGCGGCACATTTTGCTATAGTTTTACAATGAATATATCAGAGTCTCAACATGGCAGCCACAAAAACAAAGTTTTTGGAGTATAACAATGGCTTTCAAAGTATGTACCGCACAGTTAAACAGAAAATAACACCTTCAAACCAGGAACAGAATTTTAAAAAAATTGTTAGGTAGTGTAATGGATTTATGATTTCTGTGTCATTTCCTGGATAAGATGTTTGGTCTTTTCCAAGAGTGAGTGAAACAAATGGGTCAATATTACTGAACAAGCACAAGTTTTTGAATCTCATACAGCTTTTTAAAATGTGCACTGAGGCTGAAGTCTTTTGCATGCTTACCTAGAATGAATCTTATTGTCTTCAGTGGGAAGTACAGCTGAATATACATATATACTGGATTGCTCTGTCCGAGAAAGTTTTGCTTCATGTCCCAGTGGAGAACATTGATGTTTGTCTCATAACAATAACACAACAGCAAACAAGCTTATATTTATTTCAAGCAAAAATTTAATCCACAGCCTTATGCATAGCTCAGATTGAAGTCATTATGATGTTGGAAATACGTGTTTTTTTCCTCCCACAATTACTTGTTAGGTAGGTTTGTTTTGTTTTCTTTTTTTGGTTTTTTGTTGTTGTGCAAATCGCTTCTGGTGTGAGAGAATTGGCCATCTGCAAGGACGTTGCCCAGGGGACGCCCGGATGATTTGATGTTTTTTATCATCCTTGTGGGAGGCTTCTCTCATGTCCCCGCATGAGGAGCTGGGGCTGATAGAGGGAGCTCATCCGCCTCTCCCCGGATTCGAACCTGCAACCTGTCGGTCTTCAGTCCTGCTGGCACAGGGGTTTAACCCACTGCGCCACCGGGGGCTTCTTGTTAGATAGTAAGGATGGCTTTGTATCGTTAGTTTCATGCGAAGAACATTCCTTATGGATGTATAGTTATTTGAAAAGTTGATGAGCAAAAGACTGTATAATATGTTAAGGTTTTTACATGTATATACAAAGTAATAGGTAAAGGTAAAGGTTTTCACCTGACATTAAGTCCATTCGTGTCTAACTCTGGGGTGTGGTGCTCATCCCCCATTTCTAAGGAGAAGAGCCAGCGTTGTCCGTAGACACCACCAAAGACATGTGGCCAGCATGACTACATGGAGCGCCGTTAAAATATATTGAAATATATAAAATGGTGTTAAAATATATAGCGTGTATGCAGCAAATAAGTGCTTGCCACTGCATGCATCATACTGGGATATATCAACTTCTAGACACATCTGTGTGTGGCAGTAAGCACAACTTGCTATGTGATCTGAACTTGCTGCTATGCGATTCATTCATGTACTGTGTAAAATATTCACATTTAGGAATTTGATGCTATTCTGCCGCTGAGAAGAGAATCTCGGTAAGATTGGAGTGTCACATACATACTTGCTAGGGAATTAATCCCATTGGACACGACAGGTTTCACTAAACCAGTGGTTCTCAACCTTTGGGTCCCCATATGTTTTGGCCTTCCAACTCCCAGAAATCCTAAACGCTGGTAAACTGGCTGGATTTCTGAGAGTTGTAGGCCAAAACACTTGGGGACCCACAGGTTGAGAACCACTGCACTAAACAGTGGGCTTACTTTTGGTCATATGCCCAAAAGCCTTGCTTGGGATTGCTTACATGCACATGCACAGTAGCAAGGCTTGCCTATAGAAAGACCAGGTCCCTCTTCAAATCACTTTTGGTGTGTGCAAAAGCGCTTTCAGTTTTTTCCAAAATGTGCTGTTTAATTCCCCCCCCCCCCCCAGTGGACAAAGTACCTTTGCAAGCTAGAAAAACCTGGGCTCCAATTTTCAACTGATTTGACTTTCTGACAGTGTTACAGTCCCTAACCCATCAGATAAGTGGTGGCTTCTTGTGCTGTTAAAAATGAGACACTTCGTTTCCTATTCCAAATTTCATCTGCCCCCTTAAACTGCACAGGCACTCGTCACAGTGAACAAGAGTCACCAGGATTTTCAATTTGATTTAAAGCTGTTTAACAAATTATTTTGGGAGAGTATATTCTTCAGTTGCATTTATTGTCAGAACAGATGGGACCTGTGTGCAACAAGAATGAAAATAAGGACCGCAAAGCTGGCGCCTGATTTAATCTGCAGCTAACAGTGTTTTAAATCCATGTTCTATTTTTTTTAGCTTTTACATTTACAGGGTGTCTCTTTCCTGTTGTTTCTTGCTTTTATTGACCTGCTATATAATTTTCATTGTGCTGGGAACTTCTCAAGAACTCTTAAAATGAAAGCTAAGAAACATGCCATGTTCTTGGGTTGTTGTAGGTTTTTTTTTTTGGGCTATATGGCCATGGTCTAGAGGCATTCTCTCCTGACGTTTCACCTGCATCTATGGCAAGCATCTTCAGGGGTAGTGAGGTCTGTTGGAACTAGGAAAAAGGGTTTTTATATCTTTGGAATGAGACAAAGGACTCTTGTCTGCTGGAGCTAGATGTGAATGTTTCAACTGACCACCTTGATTAGAATACAATGGCCTGACTGTGCCTGCAGCAAACTTTTGTTGAGGGGTGATTAGATGTCCCTGATTGTTTCCTCTCTGTTGTTGTGCTAGAGTTTTTTTAATACTGGTAGCCAGATTTTGTTCATTTTCATGGTTTCCTCCTTTCTGTTGAAATTGTCCACATGCTTGTGTATTTCAATGGCTTCTCTGTGTAGTCTGACATGGTGGTTGTGAGAGTGGTCCAGCATTTCTGTGTTCTCAAATAATATGCTGTGTCCAGGTTGGTTCATCAGGTGCTCTGCTATGGCTGACTTCTCTGGCTGAAGTAGTCTGCAGTGCCTTTCATGTTCCTTGATTCCAGACTACACAGAGAAGCCACTGAAATACACAAGCATGTGGACAATTTCAACAGAAAGGAGGAAACCATGAAAATGAACAAAATCTGGCTATCTATTAAAAAAAACTCTAAAATTGCAACAGCACAACAACAGAGAGGAAACAATCGGGGACATCTAATCACCTCTCAACAAAAGTTTGCTCCAGGCAGTCAGGCCATTGTATGCTAATCAAGGTGGTCAGTTGAAACATTCATACCTAGCTCCAGCAGACAAGAGTCCTTTGTCTCACCCTGGTCATTCCACAGATATATAAACCCTTTTTCCTACTTCCAACAGACCTCACTACCTCTGAGGATGCTTGCCATAGATGCAGGCGAAACGTCAGGAGAGAATGCCTCTAGACCATGTGCCATATAGCCCGAAAAAACCTACAACAACCCAGTGATTCCGGCCATAAAAGCCTTCGACAATACAATGCCATGTTATATTTTTATTTTCTTATTTGAATTGTTTTGGTACTGACTGTATCCCCTTTTCTTATGTGGTTCCACATAATTACCACCTGCTCCAATTTGGCAAGTAGAGTCCCCATTAATCCTCGGTCCCATTTTTTCAGTCGCTTTTAAGGTATCCCAGTTTTTCTTCTTCTCACACTTCCCCCTTTGTGCTCAGCGCCCCTCACTTGTTGCAATCTGAGTTCAAAGTGCAGAAGGGGTCTACACTCAGTTAAACCAAAATGGGAAAAGGACAGAAAGGAGAGCAAGATCTCATAGAATCATAGAATCAAAGAGTTGGAAGAGACCTCATGGGCCATCCAGTCCAACCCCCTGCCAAGAAGCAGGAATATTGCATTCAAATCACCCCTGACAGATGGCCATCCAGCCTCTGTTTAAAAGCTTCCAAAGAAGGTGCCTCCACCACACTCTGAGGCAGAGAGTTCCACTGCTGAACGGCTTCTCAGTCAGGAAGTTCTTCCTAATGTTCAGATGGAATCTCCTTTCTTGTAGTTTGAAGCCATTGCGTCCTAGTCTCCAGGGAAGCAGAAAACAAGCTTGCTCCCTCCTCCCTGTGGCTTCCTCTCACATATTTATACATGGCTATCATATCTCCTCTCAGCCTTCTCTTCTTCAGGCTAAACATGCCCAGCTCCTTAAGCCGCTCCTCATAGGGCTTGTTCTCCAGACCCTTGATCATTTTAGTCGCTGTCCTCTGGACACATTCCAGCTTGTCAATATCTCTCTTGAATTGTGGTGCCCAGAATTGGACACAATATTCCAGGTGTGGTCTAACCAAAGCAGAATAGAGGGGTAGCATTACTTCCTTAGATCTAGACACTATGCTCCTATTGATGCAGGCCAAAATCCTATTGGCTTTTTTTGCCGCCACATGACATTATTGACTCATGTTTAACTTGCTGGCCACGAGGAATCCAAGATCTTTTTCACACGTACTGCTCTCAAGCCAGGCATCTCCCATTCTGTATCTTTGCATTTCGTTTTTCCTGCCAAAGTGGAGTATCTTGCATTTGTCACTGTTTAACTTCATTTTGTTAGTTTTGGCCCATCTCTCTAATCTGTCAAGATCGTTTTGAATTCTGCTCCTGTCCTCTGGAGTATTGGCTCTCCCTCCCAATTTGGTGTTGTCTGCAAACTTGATGATCCTGCCTTCTAACCCAAGTCATTAATAAAGATGTTGAACAGGACCGGGCCCAGGACGAACCCTGCGGCACTCCGCTCGTCACTTCTTTCCAGGATGAAGAGGAAGCATTGGCGAGCACCCTCTGGGTTCATCCATTTAACCAATTACAGATCCACCTCACCGTAGTTTTGCCTAGCCCACATTGGACTAGTTTCCTTGCCAGAAGGTCATGGGGGACCTTGTCGAAGGCCTTACTGAAATCCAGGTACGCTACATCCATGGCATTCCCCGCATCTACCCAGCTTGTAGCTCTATCGTTTGTGCTTTAGCCTTGCGGACCTTTTCCCTACAGGTGTTGGCTATTTGTTTGAATTCTTCTTTGGTGATTTCTCCCTTTTTCCACTTCTTGTGCATGTCTCTTTTGTGTCTTAGCACAGTTAGAAGTTCTTTGGATATCCATTCTGGCTTCTTTGCACTTATCCTATTTTTTCTCTTGAGAAATTCCCATCCACTCGTAACTCCCTTGTCTTTTAGTATCTGTGTCCACAGAATGCTGCTCAGTGTTTCCATCATTTTTCGGAAATCAGCTCTCCTAAAGTCCAAAATGCGGGTTTGACTTGTCTTAGTTTTGGCCTTCTTTTGTACCTCAAATTGCAGGAGCACATGGTCACTTGGATCCTACCACTTCAACCGCATCAATCAGGTCCTCCGCATTTGTTAGGATGAGATCAAGAGTAGCCAATCCCCTTGTTGCCTCTTCTACCTTCTGGACCATGAAATTGTCTGCAAGGCAATCGAGGAATTTGTTGGACCTTGTACTCTTGGCCGAGTTTGTTTTCCAGCAAATATCAGGATAGTTGAAATCGCCCATGACTACTACATCTCTTCTCTGTGTCTCATCCTTCTAAGTAGGCTCAGGCAAAAGCAAACTTCTGTAGCCTCTCTTAGCTTGTGTGTTCTTCGTCATTGCCATCTCAACCACTCGAGTTTGCTTGGCTACATGTATCCTGGTTTCCACCTGTGAAATGTTGAATGGTATGGTTTTATTCTTGATACGAACCTATTTAATAACCCATTTTTACTTTTTTGTTCTTGTTCTTAGTAAAAAAAATATGTAGCCAATACATAGTAGTCCCATTGCAGGCTTGTTTTACAAATGATATTGAATTTGCATTCTAAAGGGGAAGATCAGCAAAGTCTATTTGACCATTGTTGCTTTGACCAATGATGAAGGTCAAGAAGAAGAAAATATGTTGCCATTACTGAAGAAAATATATGGAGGGAAGGGTGGAGACAGGGCTGGGAACAACCTGAAAAGAAGAAGCTTCCAGATCCTATGTCAAATGTTAGAATGAAAGCTCTCAGGTACATGCTATCAGAACAAGAAAATCTTGTCAAACTGGCTAGATGCAATACCCATATTGACACCATATACCCTTAAAAACTTTTAAAAAGTTGCTAAAGATACAGGGCTCAAAAGTGTCTAAAAGATCCGGTTAACTCATTACTAGAGGTGAGTCATCTTCAGAGGATAAGAGATGCTACCAGTAAAAATGACTCACATGTTTTAGGTCAGTAGGAACCCAGATATTTGCTTTGTAGCTTATTTTTAAACAAAGGATTGCAGAACAGAACATTTCTCACTATGTTCTGACCTCTGACCCCTCATCTCAGGAAGGACTTTCCCCCACTTTATTTTTGTATTGCAACAGACCTGAATTTGAAGGCCAAGTTCTGTGTAATAGCAGGTACCATAAAAACGAAAGATAACTCAGATTATGCAGACAACATTCATGAATCAGGATAGGAACTGAGAGAAAGGGACTCCCTGAAATGACCAAGTTGGGAAACCACACAGAGGAAAAGATCTTCCAGAACAGATAAACAAAACTTGAAGGTGTATTGTCGAAGGCTTTCATGGCCGGGATCACTGGGTTGTTGTAGGTTTTTCTGGGCTATATGGCCATGTT